GCATCATATCTTTCTTTTAGGCTCTTCGCAAAGAACTCTGACCATCGAGTCGGTGGTCTTCCAGCAGTACGTTTGACATCCAGAGGAATCCAGTCACTAACGGCTCTTGTCCATCGGTTGTCATTCATACGCATTACGTTTCCAGCCCACCTTATCTTCGACTGTTTGGCGTAGAGAACGGTATCTTTGATTTTTGATCGTTGACACAGGTCGGAGCTTCGGATTCCATCCCTTATTTGTGTGAAACGAAATTCTCCTAGCATCGTCCTTTCGACTGCGCGTTCTATAACGCTGAGTGACCTTTCGTCCTGCTTACGCAGCGACCAAGTTTCTGACGCATAAGTTAGGGCAGAAAGTACCATTGAGTCGAAAAGGTAGGCACGGAGTTGGGTGTTCTTTGTTCTCCTCATTACATCCTCGATGCTCTTGAAACCCCCAAGCCGCTCCTTTCCGTCTGCTCAGCTCTGGAGCTAAGCTGTTCATCGTATTGATTTCCCGACCAAGATAGAAATAACTGGAGCACTCGGAGATATTCGTTCCGTTGAGCGTGAATAGGGCATGCGAAATCAATCCGTTCTTCATGAACATAGTTTTGTGAGATATAATCGAAGACCAACCTTTCCACAGGCTTTAACAAAGTCGACAAGCATATGCTCCGCTTGGATAATGTTTGGTGTTATAAGGACGATGTCATCAGCAAAGCGAAGAAGATGCAACAGCCGACTATCGATTTTCACCACCATATTATCCCATTCCAATGTTCGCACGTTCTGGAGGGTGGCATTGAATAATTTTGGCGAGATGGCATCGCTTTGCCTTAACCCTCTTTTGACGTCAATGTTAACATCGTTATAAAATGGTGATATCTTGGTTGTGAATTTTTTGTACAGCTCACAAACAATCTTTATGTACTGAGTAGGGACTCCTTGACTATCAAGGGCTTCCATGAGTGCTTCTATCTCAGTTGAGTCAAAGGCTTTATTTAAATCGATGAAAGTGAGACAGAGCGGTCTTCTGTACTCTCGCGATACTTCAATGAGCCTTGTTATCGTGTGGATGTAGTACATCGTACTAAACCCTTTTCGAAACTCTGCTTGCTCACATGGCTGTCCTTCGTCTAGTGTTCTGTCAATCCTGTTTAGGATGACTCGAGTGAAAAATTTGTAGACGACAGACAGTATGCAGATTGGACGATAGTTGCCGATATCGTGTACGTCACCCTTCTTGAACAATAACACGGTCTTACTAGTCTTCCACTGAGCACAGACTTTGCATTCAGACAGATAACGTGTGGAGAGCCGAGCCAGTGTGTTTACGAGGACTTGCGGAAGGTTCTTCAGGTGTTCTGGTTTTATCTTGTTCAGACCTGGCGCTCTTCGATTTTTCACCGATGAAATGGCATGTCGGAATTCGGAAGGAAAAACCGTCGGCACAACATATCCATCCTCTCTTATTTCATACGACGGGAGGTTAACGTGGTTATCGAAGAGATCTGAGTAGTATTTGTGAATGAATTTCTCCATTGCCTTTTGGTCTTGTAATTGGCGAAGCTTCGGCGGGCTTTGCGAATGCTTTTCCCAGCCTCTGCAGCTTCGACCATTACTGCTGCTCTTCTCTCCTTAAGATCTGCTTTTATCGCCTGTCTGCATTGTTTTGCAAGTTCGGACGTTAGTTCGCGGTTGCCTGCAGCTCGTGCGATTTCGCTGCTCTGGCGTATCAGCTCGAATGTTTCTGGGTACAAACGCCTCTTGGTGACTTTCGAACTCTCAGCTTTCACAGCGCTAGCGTGAAGATGTTGAATGAGCCGATCGTATTCCTCGTCGATGTTATCGACAACGGCATCTTCTCAATAGCCGACTAATGAATTGAATGAATCCCAGTTCACGGTGGCTCTGGGACTTCGGTTTTTGAATTTAGCGGCTTTTTCTCCTTTCCGCGAGAAATAGAATCTTGCACGAAGGAGACGGTGATCTGATCCCGTGTAGGATTTTGGGACAACAGCGACATCGGTTAGGTAAAACTTTCTATTTACTATGACGTGGTCTCTTTCATTGTGGTACTCTCTATTGGAAGACTCCCACGTCCAGCGCATTCAGGGTGCGGCTGCTAGAATTGCGAGTTACCATGGATGGTCTTGGTCGCCATGATAAACTCAAATAGCCGCTCACCCTGTTCGTTCAACTCTAATCCGTGGGTCCCAACGTGACGCTCTTCAGACGTTGTTCTTGGTCCAGTCTTGGCGTTGAAATCTCGAATGATGACCTTCAAGAATGTGTCGTCTTCTCTGTAGAACTTCTCCAAGACCATATAGAACGCTTCGACTTCTTCTTCGTCATAATTTGATGTCGGCGCGTAAACGAAGATTGTCAAAATCTGGTATTGGTCCACACCTTCTTAATCGTAAACGTCCGATTTGGGCTGTAAACAGTTCGAATTAATCGGTGTTCATGGACAAACTCGTGTTGACAAGAACGCCAACGCCAGAGACTACTCTACGGTCTTATATTTTGAGGAACACTTCCTCTCCAGTGTCATAAACAGTGTTGAATGGGTGGCATCTCCTCGCCTCAACTAGTGCGATAACGTCGTGCATTGTCCTTCATGCTTGCATGATCAAGTCTCCTACCGAGGACTCAGGTGCAGGGTTGCTTCCTTTGTAGATCCTCACCTTGGTCCTTCGCGATTTGGAAATCTTAGAATGACCCTGAAATTTTAACAGGCTCTCCGTTCACGTCATACCCAACGCTGCCGAATTGGGGGCTCTTTCGTGGTCAGGGGAATGAGGCCCGTTTATTTTACTGTGTTTAGCTTTTTGGTACCCACATATAGCTTGCTGAGCTGTAGACGTAGGAGCTGGGTATACTCACGGGTAGGTTGCCAGTCTCTCCTAGAGTGGACATGGAGCTTGTTTGTTGGACGCGACTCCTAACCGCCTCCCATATACTTCCCAGTCACTTGATTGCAGGCTTTTGACCGAATTTACTCACACAATACAATCCGCATAAGCGAGAACGCGGCCTCACACGCGTGCATGAATACGCTTAATAAATACAGAAAGTAGGTGCCAAATCGAGGCAGCAGAACCAGTGAGCCCATCCTCTGGATCCACCTGCGTCTCAGGGAAGCAAAGGTCGCTTTTGGTCCGCGATTAGCCTCTTATCCACCACCTGGGACGCACCACATAGCCTCGCGACTAACCGGTCCGAGATCCCTCATATGAGGGAAATCCGTGGCAGCTTTTGCATATCTCAAATAAATATCAATAAGCCATCACTGAGGGATTAATGCATCACCCAAGACAACTTCTGAATGCAGCCCTAAATATAGTTCAGACGACCAAGCGCAATTCTTAAGCACCATATTTGTCACTAAATTCTTTCCTTTTGGCAACAGAAAAACTCGTTGAGAATTATCCCAGAGGCAATAAAACCACTACTCATTTCTCTACCACTTACTCTGAGAAGATGTTAGCAAACGTTTTTTACTGAAACGATTAAAATGAAGATGATAATTTGAATTTTCGAATCAGAAATGTTTGACGCTGCAAAACTTTCCGTCTATGGTATTCGACTGCGTAAATCAACAAAAATAAAAAAGCAGAAACTTTATAAGTGAGATGTGGGTTTTTCAATTTCTTTATTTTCTTGGGCAGAGAACTTCCGTTCGAATGTCAATGTGCGATAAGGACTCTCCCAGAAATTAAATTTTAAGACGCTTGATTAGCATTCAAGTTAAAGATATGTACAGTATGGAAATCTTACTAGTTCACCATTTTGGCCATGTTCAATCGACGGCTTTTCCATAGGCAACAGAAATCGGATAGCACTGGTTTTGTTTAACTTATTATTAGTGTCATGAAAATGGCATCACTATCAAATCTAGCGCAGTTGCCAACTATTGATATGCTGTACTATGTCTTCCAGTCTTCATACGACGCTCTCAAGAGCGCACCAGCACAAATTTAGAAAATAGGCACTACCTCGAACCACCTTCGAATTAACAATGATGCTGTTGGTGGGTGATGAAATTATAGCCTAATAGGTGCTGTACCACTCTTGAGGAATATTAATGTAACAAGCACAGATACATAAGTGCTCAAGAATAGGGTAACAGCAACCTGTATTCTCGCTACACTTCAGCGAGTTTCGTAATCGCCTGGAAATCTGCCAGATTAATGCGAACCTGTGGATTTCCTCGAGAGTTCTCCCACAGCTTGTCTTGCTAATGAATTTGCTGATGACGACCTTGTTCTTCGGGTCTTTGACGTAAAATTTCTAAATTTGCAAACACTCTTACCAAAGTATATGACCGCCACAACATGTGTCTTCCTCGACGTCGAACTGCGATATATGCCACCATGATCAGCCAAACTGCGAAACGATTTGACGTATCCGGAAGCCGATACTGAGGTAAACTTATGTCGCCACAAAGCCGAGCAAGATGCTTATAACTACTTTTTCGCCAAGAACTGTAGGAATGAATGGTTACCAATGTTTTGTTCGTATTCTCTGATCAAGCAGAGCTCCTTGGTTAGCCATCGTGAATGAGATCAACGATTTAAATGTTAATGGCGCCTTTACTCCATAACTAGAGGGATTACAAGCGCAGATAACCTAACATTCGTCAAAGCTTCATGCTGGAATACTAGCAATGAAGCACGAACACGATGCTGAAGTTGTTGAAATAGGAATGAGGATAAGACAGAATTGTCACGTGTCACAATGACGCATAGCGATATTCTCCTTAGAAAACTGTATCCACGATCTTATAGAAAAGAGTAAATTCTAGAAAATATAGCTACATATTGATGAACATGACAAACCCACGAACTACTCGTAGGTACACCAGATTTACAGTTGCGTGTTAACGCTACCTTCGAAAATATGAATTCGGTAGCGCCCGTCTTCTTGGGTGATAGCGATCTCAACGGTTTGCTTTCCAGTTATGTTAAACTACTACGTCTCATTAATCTATTGATCCTTAATTCTGATTAATTCTTGTTAAGAATTAAACCAAAGACTGACCAATGATAGCAAAGTAACCACATCACGGATATCCTTTTCAAAACGAATGGAGGTGTTTGAAGCTCGCACCTTGGCCAATTCCATGGTAGTGGATATGCTACTCAGTAAGACATCTTGGGTCAATTTCTGTAACCCAGTAAACGTAAGAAACAATAGTGAGATCTAATTATAAAGAACCGTTCATTAACTTGAATTAAGCCCAGTAAATTAATACTTACATGGATAAGAGCATTCTCAATATCTACAACAACAGGTATCCGTTCATCTAACAAGCCAGCGAGATAGTAGGAAGCAGATTCGAGAGCGTAAATCTGTGTTTTAGCACACCATTTTTTTCGAAAAAAAATATAAACGATTACTCACAAAAATATATGCCGTGCTACCTTGAGGGCGAATTCAGTGGTGATGTATTGTGAAGACGTTTCATCGGATACCATAGCATTTTCCTGATATAATGGAAACATAAGCTTCTTAACTAAACAGTATTTAAGTAACTCTACCCTTTTAGCACTTGGGGTTTTGTTGCAAATGGCAGCCAAATCACGCAACAAACGTTTGCTGTATCCAATAGTAGCTGCAGCTAATGGCAAGCAAGCGCAGGAAGCTAATTCATCCATAACCTGAAAATAGGTAGCTGAATTCTACTATTAATTCAAATGCTTACTATTGTTACTTCAACCTTCACAATGGTTTAAGTTTAAAAGCTCATCGTGGCGAAACAGTGCCCCAGACGTCGAATTTCAATTTCAATGACGGGCGCAGCAGAGTGTCCTCCAGCAATTTTAGATTGCATAATGTGTAGAAAACAACCTTTCTCGGCGTACGCATGGTGTAACACATCATATGGGGAAGCTGGAGATCTAGTGTGAAGAGCATAGCAGAAAAGTGCGACGAAATAAGTATTCGGAAAAAAAAATGAGTCGTATGTGACTCACTTGGAGCAAGCATCCCCAACAAGTATGAGTCATATACAACTCCGCCCATTATGTGGAAATGCATGGACACTCACCCGTGTTTTTTCAAACGTGAAAGCTAGATGAAAATATCGTCAAGGATGTCAAAATAACACTGTGGAGAAAAGCACCGGAGTAGACGGTACATACCTCCGGACCTTGTCCTAATTTACCAACCAGCTGACGTTCACTGATCGAAGCAACCACATTCAAAAGACCAACTGCAAAAAGGAAAAGTATAAGTATATGGTAGTGTAAAATTCAAAAATGACTACATAGGAATTATAGATGACGAAAATGATAGGAACTGTTGAGATTAAAAAAAAACCAAGCTTATGCAAATACCATCAAATGCCTTCAGCCCGAATGTTTCATCTCGAGTAAACTCCCAAGTATCACTTTCTTTTAATTCTGTACGATCAATTATATAACAGGAGCAGTACTTATTCTTCTGAAAATATGCATGATTCTAAAAGAAAATTCAGAACTAGGAAAAAACAAGTGAATTATACTTCCGCCTTCAATAAATCCTAATTCGAAACACACTTACAGACTCATGATGAGCTGAAGTAGCTAACACAATCGCTATGTTAGCATTATTCACCCCGATACAACGTGTATTCTTTATCCTCAATAAAGCGTTCGTGCGACCAGTCCCAGAAATCTCAGAACATGAACAGGCGCTGAAATTATGAAATAACCATCTAAATAAATCCATAAGCCGTAGTACTTGTATTTGAATCATTTTCGTAAGCCTAGAATCAATGACCATCCCTACCCAATAGAAGTGTGATTGAACACGTATCCTGTAAGTGAACAAATAGTCAATGAACCTCTAACACCAGAAAACTATGAGAAACCGAATTAACAAGAACGTGCCAATTCTAAAGCGTACCCTTTGTCGTCAACAACGGCAATAATGGGACGACATTTTCCACTAACAATTAAAGGAAAATACTTCTCCTTGATTTCGTCAGATCCGAACAATAATAGAGCATTTACAACAGAGCTTACCACCGTGACGTTCGCATGAATATTCCAATCAAGACTAAGATTCTGAAAATCTACTCTATCAAACGGGACACATATTAAGTTGATCATTAAGAAATTCCAAAAAAAATATCTGGAACAAGTGAGGTTAGCTACCATCCAAAGATTCCTAACCTCAAATATTTTCATTTGATCCTTGTAGCCTAGTCCTAAACCACCATACGTGCTAGGTACTAGAGCAGAAAACACGGTGCAGTCATTAAGCACTCCTCGGACACCATCTGGTAACGAGCCATGCTTTTCCAAGCCATCCCGGTCAGCTGAAATATTGTCCAATCAGTATTATATTAATACAAATTCATGGATAGTTTCTAACAGAAAAAATCTAGATTCAGCAGTAAAAGTTTCGTAGCCCATTATTTGTAAAAAAGAAAAAAATTAGTAGCAGCTATAGCAGAATGATGGGCGCGTGTGGCGCAGTGGTCGGAGGTGTTCTGCAATACACATGCATCGATTCCCGCGTCCCTGGTACACCAAGCGTCCCATTTCTCCTGGGTCGTCAGATTGGTACCAGCTTCGTGTCTGGGATGATAGCGGCACTGGCTTGATACATCGGCAGGTCACCGCGAGTCATTGTAAAGACCAGACAAGCATTCAATTACCTCCAACGATACTTAATGAAGTCGAATGGATGGCGCATCCCTCAAGGATTGATCAACAGCGGGAGGTTCATTTTATGTGTGTGTCTGTTCAAGCGGAATATATTATGTAGAGGAACCAAAAATATTTTGATTCGTTGCTGCACAATTCTAACTCACACACCACTTTTACTTTAAGAAATGTAGCAACATGATTCGTTATCAAAATTCTAAGGAGGAGAACAAATGCCATGACATTGGGCTTCAGTTGATAGACTGACGTTGTATAGAATTCAGCGATTGTTAAGTAGTCATCGTCAACATAAGAAATTTCTGATCTACGATTCCGTGTACTAGTCGTTTGAGTTGAGTTCAACACTCAATAGATCGTTCTCAATGGCGGCAGTCCCATTCGTCAACTGTTTCTTTGTTCTAGTTGTACCATACAAAAGTCTCTGAGAGAGACGTTAAAACATGATGATCATGTGGAAAAAAAATGAGCTCAGAAAAGATCATTGGTGGCCTTCACTATTTTGTAAATTTTTTGACACCAAGATAAATTCAAGGAATAATGCCTCTATTCCCTTCTTCGAACCTTGTTATTGTTTAGAAGGAATCAATAGTTCGATTCCATGCATAGCTTTTAAACAAGACCGATGTTCTTTTCACTTTCATGCTTGACCATTCAACTTTGGTGTTTTTTCCTACCTAGTGAATCCTATCTTCGATGGCTTCTTTAATTGACAGTTATGAATAGTAGTCATTTAAACTTTGATGCTTCCCTTGACAATGTGAGAAGATGGCACCCTTCGACAACTCCAAGTTGCCATCATTATGTACTAGATCTGGTAACCGCTTTCTTCATGTTAAGAGTTGATTCAGTCATCAGATGGAAAAGAACACAGCGTCGCCCCAAAAAAAAAAGACGAACAGGTCGTGTATGAGGAAAACATTCTCAGAGAAATACTGTCTTTATGTGATTAGCAGAATAAAGGAGACTCCGTTGAAGACTGCAAGTTGCCAACGCACGACAGGAAGACCAACGGCTCGATGGTAAGAATAGTTCAAGGAGAGCTTGCAAAAAAGACACAAGACTTGGCATGTCCCTAAAGCGGGCAAAATGCACTGGGCTACTCTCGCATGAGACGGACAAATTTAGGCTTCACTGGCACTCGCTTGAGTCTCTCGACAATCGGCAGAAAGACGGGCAATGCAAGTGAGATGACTGGCAGATTAAGATAGACCGAACCGAAGACTACGTCACTTGTCAAAGAACAAAACAACATGTGCTGACTCGCGTCAATTCTTCAAACAAGAGGTTCAAATATTCTCAACTAAACCCTTCTCTCATATGATTGCTAGATCAAGGAAGACACGAGAGAAGACTGCGAGCTGCTTTTCAGAGGATTTAAAGCTTCTTCCGAATTAGACACAGTTTCGCAAGAAAAAAAAGTCCGGACCGCTCTCAATCACCATTTAAAAGTTGCTATAAAATAGAAAGGAAGTGAAGACTGACGACAGGAAGTGCCAGTTGCAAAGTTCTTTGCAAAAGGATATACATCGGCACAAGCAGAAAAAGTTATCGCAAACAGTTCAAAAGCAAAGCGCTATGAAGAAATGTCATAAGAAGCTGTGCGATTATAATGTTCCATTATAAGCTCTGATGAACGAAAACGGAACGAATACAACGTTCCGCTATGACGTAGAATCAGAAATGGAAGTATTACAAAAATGTTCTCCGTTCCATAATCGTTGTCTTGATCGCCGAAATCCCCGATCGAGAAAAAGAACTCGAGGTTATTTTGTCTGAAGTTTGGATTGCAATAAAAAGCATGAAGACAGGTCCAGCTCTTGTATGACCGGCGACTCCCTTCCAGCTGAAGGCCATAAATTACATGTACTTCTCGCAACCTTTATTATATCTTGCCTCCAAAAGCAGAAAATCCCAGACCGGTGAGGGCGTCGCCCATAGTCATCCTATCCACGAACATTAATCCTGAGGGATCCTCGTAATATAGTATCATATGTTTGCTTACTGTATTTTTCAAGCTGCTTATGAACAGCCTCTTACTACGAATGTCATGGACTTCGAATGAGGCACAAACAGTTGAGCAAACAGGATCCCGACAAGGACTCTTCTGTATAGACCACATTTAAATCATGTCAAGGGTTATAGAAGTTTGTTGGAAGTACCACCCTTCCCTGTCTTAACCTTTTCGAGTGTGAAAAAACGTTCGACAGCGACGAAACGTATGCAATCGTATCAGCGCTCGTCAACCAATGAGTGCTCCTTCCATGTTATTCCCACAGAAAGTAGTCCCTCAAAAGGCAACTTGCCAAAGATGTTTACTGCTCAAAAGCATTATATAATGAAGCCATTCGACTGTGACAAGAACAACATACGCAGCAATGGCAAAATGCTGCTAAATTTTCGTTTTGCTGAAGACATCGTCATCTTTGTATGAGAGGAGTAGATGCGATGGCAAATGAGAACAACGGAATTGAAAAAAAAGGATAGGGCTGTGTATAAATCGAAAGAAAATCGATTCTATGAAAAATGAATAGTGGGAAAGGAAACAAATCAAACTGAATAATTCCTTGATTACAGAAGCTTAACCGTGCATCGTTAATTTTGCATAAGCAACAACATGGAGCAGGATTTACACAGAAGGAAAGCGGTATGGACCGCGTGTGGGTGTCTTCTCAGAAAAGCCACCGACCGGCTAACGTACCCGAAAAACCACGCTCACTATTTTGATTCCAGTCCTCCTAGCGCTCTATTGTACAGCAGAAACGTGGGTTAATACTCGATCCACGTGAAAAACTGTGCACAACCTATACAGTGTTTGAATAATGTCTTCTGAAATATAACTAGCATACACAACTAGCTGGAATGCACAGCTTAGATCACCGAAACCTTTCCCATCTTCAAGATCGAAGAAAACATGCATCGTTGAGGAAACAAGGGTGAACCGGTCGAATAATACGAGCACATGGCACATGAAAGAACTGTGAAGTAGACTTCAAGAGGATGTAAGCGTACTTTCAGACACTAGACGGGCCGTCATGTTTGTGGCTTACGCCTACCATTTACACTTGCAAGTTGAAATGATTCAGCGATCACGAAATAAACTGCAAAATCATCACCATTTTCAAAGTAGATCAACAGCATGGAAAAGAACTGTGCTATAAAGACACGAATTGGACATGTACTGGCTCCCGTAGTAGTACTGAAGGCGAAAAACCCAAGTATCCAGGCAAATAATCACTTGTTCGGATATTAAGAAATGCGCTAACTATAGTACCCTGTATGGTATAATAATGTAATAATGACCACACAATGAACTATATTGACAGACAAAAATCATTAGGATCTTCATTAATCATTAAGATTAATTGAACTCGATAGAACTCGTGTTTCAAAACCACAAGTAGACAAATCAAAAAAAAAAGAAGGCATCTTGTTTCCTTACTGGTCAGTTCTAAGGACTTGCTCAAAACCTCAGTGAATCCCTGAATAGTTCTTACATCATCAGTATCCGCATATTCTGGATAGATCAGGAAATCCTGAAAAGGCGGCTAGGCGAAATGAAGGAAGAACAACCATTAATGTACCAATCAAAACATGAACAATTACATTGAAAAACACCTTTTCAAACTTATTCATAGTAAGTCCTCTGGAAAGCGACACTTTCTCAATCGGGACATCTGCTTTAACATCGTTGACCCGCAACTTATTTCTGCTTATAGCCGCCACTTCCTTCTGGTTACAGAAGCACAGAACACATTTAGAGAAGGCTCTGCTTCGAAGAGTGTTCATCGTAAGAACTCTCATCTGAAAAGAAACATGTAAAGAACTGCAAAGAAGAAGAGAAAACTATCGGGGAAACAAGAAAACAGTGTGAAAGTGACTTCAACATCAGTGCTTAAAAAATACCATGAACTTATAGCCAAGAATTAAGAAGGAAATAATACCGAAGATCTTTAGTGAAGAATAGGAACAACGATAAAGCACGTTCATCAACTTACTCCTCGCAACAGTCTACCGCTTCATCGTGACTGGTAAGTGTTCCTGAGTGTCGGGCTGCGATGTACAGTGGGGTGCTCATCCACCGATCCACCGGCAGTGTCTCCCAAGCTGAAAAGAAGTCCAGCGTTTCCATCAGGACGTCCAGCTAAGAGAGAACTAATACAAGGATCGACCACCATCTTGATATCAAACTAGTTGCATGGTGGCAAATCTGCCTCTGATCCACAAGGGCGACGACCGCCTGTGACGACGACGACCTGGGCCATAGTTTGACTAGGCTGACTTCGAGACTCCAAGGAAGTACGATGGCTAAACCAGGAAATCACCGAGAAATGGAGACTAAACTAGGGCCAGCACAACCAAAGAAGACGGACCATCCGAGTATACAAGTATCAATTGACTACTTTTAAGCCTAAACATTACGAAAGTACAGCATTGAACATCTCTAAATCAGCTACTGTCCCTGTTCCGAACAATTTCCTGAAAACAATGTCTGATGTGAATACAAGATTTGAATCTGAAAGACATGCATCGAGATAAGTACAATCGGAGGGTGGTGCTTTTGCACCGTAGCGTGAAGTCTCGTTGGTTTTTTGCGTCCTCAATGTTTTGTCCATTTCTTCTTTGGAACTGGTTTTATCACTGAACTTTATGTATCCTGGATGCTCTGCAGCTCTTTCCAGTTGATCAAATGCTCTGTGGATTCTTCTGACTTGGATCGCCGTCGTGCTATTAAGTACTTGTGTAAAATCCCCCTTGGAAACAACTGTGTTTTGCCTATACTTTCTGTTTTTTTTTATTAGTTGCTGTATACTTCTTGGCTTCGACGGTTTAGCTTTTATGTAATGAGCACAAAAATTGCTGGAAAGCCTAGTCATCGGAACATCATGTTACGGTTGGTCTTGAAATGGTACCCTTTTCCTTACTTGGATACTTGGATGGCCCGTCTTCACTGGTCGTGCGGGCCCCAGCATAATTTCCACTTTTTCGGAGTTTTGCTGGTTTAGCTATCGTGGTTCCTTGGAGTCCCGAGGCCAGCCTAGCTAAACTCTGCCTGGGTCGTCACCACGGGCAGGAACAGGAAATGGTACTCCTTTAGTGATTGCGATTAAATATAGTCTGCACTAATATACGTTTCTTCATTAGCAGTTATGAAGGATAACGCTCACAGAGTTGATCAATGCCTTTGGGATGCGCCATGTATTCGACTCCATTAAGCATTGTACAAGTGATTGAGTGCGTATTTGGCCCATACGATGACTTGCGATGACCTACCGATCTATCAGTTCAGTGTTTTCATCCTCTCAGACAAGTCCAGTGACAATTTGCCGACCTTAGAGGAATGAAGCGCTTGATATACACGGGGAGCATTGCGTTACTGTTCACTTATATGTCGTAGATCTTACCTTTAGGTGTTTCCTAATAGTATTCGACCAACCACTTAAATGCACTCAATTGTTGTTGTTTTTGAATGTTCTCACTAGTTATTAACCATGCTCATAATCCATCAGTTTATCAGAAAGCAGGATACTGGTTTGACTCTATCCAGAACGCTCTCCTGTAGTCCACGTGGGAACATCTTAGCTCGGCTATCTCCAAAATCGCAAGGAGAAACCACACGACCAGCATTCTCCGAAATTCGTGAAGAAGACGAAATCCTCAGGCAACAGCTGAAACAGCACACGGAATCTTGATAACATAATACTGACTGCCGCATGGTGGATTATGTGCTGAAAAACAAATTATTATTAACAGTAAGTCGTACGAACAGCAACCGTCCTGTATAGAAGTATCGCCGGGTGAATAGGCCTTATTGGAGTGATGCCCACTGAAGAAGATCTAACTCAATACAAAGACGAAAACACCACATCGAGAGGAGAAACAGCGGTGGGCCATCGACTCGGATCGTCGGCTCTGAGTAAACCGAAAATGTCGAAACCTTAGCCATATAAAACAATTTTATCAACCTCGTGTAAGCGTTCAACAGTATAAATGGACGGCATGTTCGAAGACCATTGTGGATGATGAATGGGAGGAAAACGAATCGAATGAAAGTGCGGAGATCCGCACGGTAGACCTGATGAGGGGATGTGTGCTAATAGTAAATTACCTTTGCTCCCCTTAATCATAGGACTATTCGAATGGGCTTCGGTAAAAACCACATTGATCACCGTTTCATGGCATTTGGCCAATGTGTTTTGCCTGTTTAAGGGGCAGTGAGTGCGCCAGGCTTTTCGTTTCTAATTATCGTGAAGAATCTGTCCGTGTATCAACGATCTTTCCATTGTGCAGTTACCAGCTCTTGGATCTATACATATTACTAATGATTCACTGTAGAACGACGAAACTGTGATCGTGAATCACACTTCAGTGATGTCGCAGTCATGCGGAAATCATGCTAAATATTGGACCCTATGTAAAGTCTTCGTTCACGCAACTATGTCACCCATTAATTCTTCTAAAACAGCATGGCTGTGCTGGCTTCCTGTTTCCTATGTACACTCCCACACGGTCTGCAAAAGGAATGCTGTCGAGCACTTCTATGACGAATGCTTGTTAAGGGAGGGGATTTTTAGATATTAGGTCTAGTCTTGTCGGAACTGAGTGCTGTAGAAGTTCTGAACGAATAGGTGACACCTCAGTCCTCGGATTAGAGGACATCCGGGGCGACATTCGAGGTTATGCTGTGCGGTGCAGATAGACTCATCGGTAAACAGGTAGCTCGCCGCAGTTCTGGTCTGCTTTGAGCGTAACGTTAAGTTCCTTCGCTTTTTCAACGCATACTTCATTTGGAAAGGAAAGTAGCATCTGGGCGGAAGGGTTTTCATAATTGTCTTCCATGCTTTAGAATTTTCTGTCAATGGAGGCTGGCTCCTGTTAAAAAGAGAGTGATGCACAAAATGTCGAAAGGCAATCAATTCTGGATCGTTCGTTCCATCCCCTACTGTGTGTTCGTATGGAAATGTCGACTTTCATAGGTCTTCGCTACTACATTACTCCTTGATGACCTTCTGAACACTTAACAAGTTGGGGCTAGGTGACACTAAATCTCTTCTGATCTAAAGTCCACGTCACCTTCTTCTTCATTCATGACAATATTTTGCTTTTTAAAGAATGCTTTGTAATAATTGCATTATATATATGCATGAAATAGGACGCATAGAGGATGCATGGGGACTCGCGTAGCGAAGTGGTGGAGGGCGCTCTACAATGCAGATGGAGTCGATCTCGTTGCCTTAGGCTCAGCAAGCTTTCCATCACTACGGGGTCCGCAAATCGGTACCGGACTTGTCTGGGAGGGTAGCAGCACTGGTCACCTCTAACGATGCCCAATGTAATCGAGTGCATGGCGATTCCCTCAAGGATTGGTCAACGCCGGGAGCTTTATCCTTTTTTACCTTTTATACGTATATATATGTATATATGTACATATATATGTTTATGCATGGTTCTTGAAATACATGCTCTCTGTTGACGGCATTTGTGTGAGATGTTTCGTTGTTGAACTTTATTAAGTGTGTCACTCCCATATCGCTCAGTCATGTGTGGAGCTTTGCACTGATGCATTGAGCTTTCCACAACCACTCAATTCAGTGACCTTTGTTGTAACCGTCTTTATCTTGTTGTGCACTGCTCCCTTAATTAAAAAATTGTATTCATTATTTGGTTCCTTTGTCGTGACTTTTTCCGAAATATTTCAGGTCCATGCAGTTTAGTCTCCTAGAAGCAATGGATCAATGGCGACAATCGCTTGTAGCTGTAAAACAGAGGACACCTGAAAAAGTAGGTCTCAAATGTTTTCTTCCTGCTCAGCCATTTTGCTTTACCATCTGTAGAGTGTGTTCCTCCGTTTTATCCAAATTCTCAACAATTCTGCCCCACGCTTAAGGTTTTGAATTATTTTTGTAAGGCAGATGTCTTTCCCTAATCCTTATTAGTCACTCTTGTCTTTTAAATCGGCATTTTGATAGCCTGTTTCCATTTTGAGTCTTAATTTAGCGAATTAAACTTATCCTTACCTTTAGTATCCTCGCCGTAGGCTATTGTAACCTTTCACTTGTTGCCTTGACAAAGTGGGTACATAGAATTCTAATTGTTTTTCTCAGAATTCTATTTCAGAACCAGCTTTTTAATTTCGTTTAATTTTCTGGAACTGGGAGAAGTAAATGAACAATTTAGTAATTAGTTTGTTCTTATTTCCTTACGATAACTGGTGTTTAGAGAAGTCGTACCACGTTTGGGTTAGTGAAGTCTGTAGAATTTTATTATAAATAGTGATGGTTTGCTGGTGGCAGCGTTGCATAGAAAATTAGCTGAGAGAAACGCATGAGGGCTTCCGTGGTGCAGTGTGTAATACGTGAGCCCCCGAGGGGGGTAATCGTGGCTCGATCTGGCCTGGGGTCCAAGTTTTGTGAATATTTTAGCATCTTTGTGGTTTTAATGATGGAGCGTTTTGAATTTTTGTACTACTGATAGTCATGGGTTCTTCTGTATACTGTTATCCTAGAGCTGCGCCGTTGATGCCATGCTAGAAGGAACATCTGGTGCTCATCAATGGAACCAGGTGACTTTTTTGTTCACTATTTTCATGAGAAAAATTGGACTAGCCCATCGTCATCATTTTTTTCTGTCATTGAGCTTTGGTTCATGTTTCAAGTGTCACTTTTTATAAATAAAAGCCTAATATTTTAGATGAATCATCGTCGGCCAGCATTCTGCAATTTCTGTCGAGAAAAGCTTTCTGGTCTGACTTGGCACGGGTGGTCTTGTGAAAGTAATTCTTGATCTGATTTTTTAGAGTAAATTATTAGTGATACGCACGCGTATTCCATAACTGTTTCACTTTTAAATCGTCCTAGGGACGAGATTTATTTCATTGGTACCATAAAACAGCTTTTTCGGTTACAATTCAACATCAGAAGGTAGATCTTGATGGGTGTTCTTTTCTGTTCTCCCGCTGCTCACAATAAAACCCTTAGTGCATTAACCATTTTACGACAAAGCTGATTTTTCGATAGTTAGAGCACCTAAAAACTAGAGGAACTACATGAGAACTAACGTACATACTCTATAACCTTCAGAGTAAATGTAATTTTTAGGAAATGCCCTATAAATTTTAAATTTGTTTGGAATTAAAATTCTTGTAGACGGAAATGAGATTTATTTTTTCGAAATTCCCCCGCAAGCTGATCAGCCGAAAGATGAAAGTTACTCTGGAGACGAAATATAGTCCTGCTGAGCAAATTATCGTTTGTTGAATTGCTTTTGTTATCAAGAAGTCTGGACTTAAAAGAACGGAGCGTTTGTTTTGTGGATGGGAAAAAGTCAGAATTCAATTTTAGGAGAATGAGGAAATTGCATCTTGTACGTAGATCCCATTGGCTTACTCAATTAATAAAGTTCATTCGGAGGTGAAATGTGACCTCAAAACGGCCACAGAACCATGCGCATTCAAATTAATGCATTTCGTTGCGAGTGTGTTAAAACTAACAACTTATACAGACCCTGAAATTCTCTTATGTTTCAAGGTTTAAAACTTATGATTGTGTGAAGCCGACCTGTTTTTTTCAAGTATATTTCAGTATGCAAAATGAAAGCTCACAAGAAGTGTATGAACAAAATTGTCGAACGGTGCAAATGGACAGTCGAATGTACAATTCCCAACCACCTTCGTTACATAAATCCTCAGGTTAGAGATGGCTTAAAGATAGTCTTGGATTCGTTCATTTGTTTTCTTGTGCTTCCATTCGCCCATACCATCCCAGCCTTTTTGGTTTGAACTCCGACGTTAAGAACGGTCTTGGTGTATTGGCAAGCTAACAAAGAGTTGTTGCAAAACTTTTTTGTTACAAACCTTTTGGAGCCTTCGCCTTCAGAGCCACTATCACTCGAATCGAGTGTGCACAGCCGTTCATTAATCGAGTCGAATCAACTCCAGCGGAGTGAAAAATCGAACGAAATCAACGGCTGTGGACACTCACCAAGAATTGTTCTTGCTTTGGTGGAGGTAAGGACGCCGAGACGTTATCCGCAGTGAAATTTTGCAGGGGAAAATTTTGCAATAACGTTTTGTAGCAGCCTCTAATTTACCAATGCAGGAAGATATTGATTATTCGTATCCAGATTAAATTAAAATGAAAATCTGTTTTTAAAAATGTTAAGAAGTGCTTTATGCTGCTGTTTTCCATCTTGAATACCTTTAATTTTAGAATTCGATAGTCGCTCATCAATGGGTTGAAGGTAATCTTGCTATGTCCTCCAAATGTTTAGTTTGCGAAAAAGTTTGCGGATCCGTTCTTAAATTAGCTGTAAGTGACTTACATTTATCCCAAGAAAGGACCACTTTGATTACAATAAATTCCTTTGTAATTTATGCCTTTTTGTTTAAGGATTGGCGGTGTTTATGGTGTGCTTGCTGCGTTCATTCCTCCTGTCTTCCCCAACTTGGACGAGGGTGTTCGCTTGGCGCAACTTCTCTTTCTGTTTTACCACCACTTGCCGTTAGAGGTGTTAGTGAAGAAGGCTTAGCAGATATACGAACAGATGCTATTGGTTTGTTCAAGTTGTCGGACTTTCTTCTCTACTTTTGTTGCTGAGCAGTTTCTTAAGATATCTAGAAATTTTTTGACTAGGTGGAGAATGTGGTGGCGGCTCACCTTTACTTGTACTCGTGAACTCCAAATCAGGTGACAATCAAGGTCAGCGTATGATTCGGAAGTTCAAGCGTTTGCTCAATCCACTGCAGGTTTTCGACATTATAGTCACTGGACCAGATTTCGCGTAATCTTCCAACTGTTTTTAAGTCAAGTGATATGTTTCCTATTGAGGCTTCTAATTCCAGACTCTCGTTTTTTGATTCCTTTGATTGTTTTCGAGTGCTTGTTTGTGGTGGTGATGGCACCGTTGGGTGGGTACTAGGGGCGTTCGATCGACTAGGATTGCATAACAGGGTATAGTCTATGGATATTTGTTCTTTATATTATTATAGTTTAATTCGACCTTGATTTCAGTGTCAATTGGCCATTCTTCCAATCGGCACAGGTAATGACTTGGCTCGTGTACTTGGATGGGGACATGCATTTTATGATGATACACAGTTACCTCAGCTCATACGAACATTTGAGCGAGCACACACTCGTATGTTGGATCGGTGTGTTTTTTCTTCTATCTGTAATTGCTTGCCATAGGTTAGTAGAGGTTCTGTAAATTTCCTTGACTAATATCTTTAGTTGGAGTGTGCTCTCAGTCGAAGGTCCTCAGGCAGCTGCTGTTCGAGAGTATAAGGATACTGTCTTGAAGGACGTACGAGCTGTATTGGAAGCAAATGATCCTAGAGAAGTCTTTAAAGCCGTAAAGTTGGTCGTTTGTCAGAATCTTTTGTACAATTTTTGGTCACTTTTGAGTAGTTGACAAGGTGCCCTTCTCTTCCTAGTGCACATGTTCACTTAGATCACTATGTGAAACTGTACGCGGATTGATGGAAAGTATAGCAGTAACGTATACTAAAGTTGAACAGTGGGAAAAAGAAGCTGGTCGATTGTCGAACGATCCTCTTACCGAGAAGTATGATTATGTGGTGACTTAAAGATTGGAAATTGATTGTTGATTCATGCCAATTGCAGATGCTCTACTCTTTTGCAAAAGCTAGATGTGCTTATGAAATCTTTAAGTATTGAAGAGAATAGGATGGAAGAAAGTGGATTTGAACCAGAAGATGATGAGCGTTAGTGTTTTGTGGTAATTGTGGAACAAGTACACCCTACATGGAACATCATTTTTTAGGTAGCGCAAGTGAGGAGCGACGAAAGCGTGACCAACTTGTTGGACGAGCAAACAGTTTAAAGAAAGCTTTGAAAGATATTATGAGCATTGCTGAGCGTGGAATTGATCAACATATTCGCCTGAGGTTGGTATTCGAAAACTGTATCCTGACAACTAAGTTGTATGCAAGAGAATTTCCTGTTCTATGTGAAGTATATTACAGATCTTTTCCTTCCTATATTCACTGTCTTTACAGAGACGATGGAACGAAACGCGAGCGTTTCCGAAAAAAACGCAGCAAAACTACAGCATCCGTTTTGAAAATATCGTCCTCAAACATTAGTTCATCTTCTGCGTGTTCTCCTCCAGCTAGTCCGTCAAGGCAACGGAATCGCTTTGACTATCTAACTGTAAAAGGAGGTGGTAGCCAGACAAGTGGTATCGGTTGGTTGATTTTTGTAGCCTTTTTGAACGTTCACATTTCTTTTTGTGTACCTTTTTTAAACTGTACACCGAAAAATAAAATGTTGTATGGGTTTCCGTAATGTTTGGGAATTGGTTTCCCTATCCACGAGTGCCAAATTGCTTACCTCAGTTAATTCTTATGAGGTGTCACATGTCTGCTCTGTTTGATCTTCAATCTTCAATGCTTCTATGCGCGTTTACTAAGAAACAATTTGATAGTCGACGTAGGTCAGAACTTCGGTTCGCTTTTCTCATTTGTAGGGTACAAGGCGTTTCTAGCATCATACTTTTAGTCTCTTTTGCTTGCTTACGTCGAAGTTTCGAAGACATGCGATATCACAGGGGAAACTGTAGCAAGGTTCATCCTCGATGCTACTGTATGTTCGTCAAGCTGCTCTTCTTGCTCAGTATTGATGGTAAATTCATCATGTAGCTAAGACTCTATTCCTCTCTTTGGGAGAGGGATAACATCGATTTGCCTCCACTCTACTGATCGAGCGGCGGTATGCGGCTGCATCTGCTTACTGCGGATAGGGACCAGTGCTTCTCAGGTCGATTCTGGATCGGGTTGGGTGATTTGCGGACCACACTGTTAAATTAACGCATTCTTTTCATCATGTTGGTTTCAGATACCCATAGCTAGAGCATTTGAAGGTTTTGGTTAAATGTGAATGGAGCATCAGGAACCAAAACCACTTTTCTTGAACGTATCTTTCTTTAGTTTGAACCGTTAATCAATCGTTTCACGTGCACTGTCGAAGTCGCCCAGCAGTCGTTCCGAATGGTTAATCTATGACGATGTAGGAAAAATTCCATCACGAGAACGATTAAAAATTATCTGGTCATCGAGTTTAACCTAAATATTTTGTTTCAACTACAATGTTTTTTATTTCCTGCCTATTATAATTTTTCACGACAGGGTATTATGCGAAATACAACCGTAATGATGCTGAGATATTTGCAAAACTCTGGACTGCAGGTGTCTGCGGTGGAGAATGAACGCCCTTTCCAGGGGCTAACTTGTTCACCAGCACACCATGGGGACCCGTTTCGCATGTATCTCAGCTAATTTCCTATCGACTAGTGAGGTTCTATGACGCATTAGCACCAGAAAAGGGTAATAGCGTGTTCATTTCCCACCGGAGATACCTGCAGTCCAGAGTTTTGCAAACATCTCAGCATTATTATGGCTGTGTTTAGTTTTAGTTTGTTACTTGTTTGTCTACGTTTGCCTTGTTTAGTTTCCTACGACGTTCGCGAAAGTGCCGTCTTACAGTTTCGGTCTGATAATGTCACGTTAAGAACTTTCTTTTTTACCTTGTTGGTGTTTTTGTTATAGGGAGCGGGTAGAGCAATTGTAGTGGTGGCGATCGTCACAAACACGATTCTGGTTGTCAGGGTCGGGAAATTGTAGCAAACTTATCTGGGAAAAGTCTACTGTGTGTAATCCAAGTAGGAACGCTTCAGCTCGGCTAGCTCAGGTCTCCACGGAGATTCGACTCGACCAGCATTCAACGACATTCATTATGGAACGAAAATCTTCAAGGAGAAGCCGAATAAACTATTTGCAAAAACTAGGAAAACCTTTTCATGGGTGAAAAATGCGAAGAAACAGATTGAATGCAAGAACTGCTGGGGTCTTTACAGCAGTTATCGTAGAAGACCGGTCGTGTAGAAGTAAAAGGCAAGAAATATTGCCATAGATTGTTGATATCCAAATAGCGAATTTGTTACATAGTTCATTAAGGCTGTCAAGTGGAGACAGTAGATCTTCAATGACCGCTATTAACCCAGTTGAGTCGGAGTCTTTTTCAACAAAATTATTTGTTTTTGTTTCCTTTTTTTCTTGATGACAGTACATCATGCTTCCATCGGACTAACATTAGCGGATATATGCGTTTGTGCGGGGCGGTTTTTGTCATTCTGGAACGAGCTGACTTCATCTGCCAGTTCCTCTACGTGATATTGACGAGACGATATCCAGAATAAAGTTTCTTTTAAACAACCTCTTGTAGGCTTTGAAGTAAACCAGAACATGCGAGGTCGCTTTTAGTCTACTTCAAACCCGCTCGCCTTCATTAGGGACATGATCACATAGCTTTGAGGCTAGTTCGTTGTGTATTTTTCAGTGAGAGAGCTCCACGGATTCTCATCTGCAATGATAAAAATTGTTATTGTGTGTGCAATGGTTATTTTATCCAGTAAAAAGCTTGAAGACAAGTCAATTGAACTTAATAAAAGAGTGGCTAGAATTGTGTTACTCATCTACCATCTATGATGTTTAGGGATTTCTCCATCTCAATCATCAAATCCGGGTCATTCAACATTCGAAGTAGGTGAAGAAACCCAAGACACACCATCTCCATTACATCAGTGCAGTGATTATGAATGCGATTTAAGAGACGAGGCTGTTGAAGCATTGAACGCAAGGTTAATTCTAATATCTTTTGATTATCAAGGTGTGCTGGTTTTTCGATGAGAATTGACACTATAGAAAGTTATCGAGACATCAAAAATTTCAAAGATTTCTATTCAAGTCTGACAGCAACCAACACCAACAGCGCATCGTTACACCCTAAGGAATGAGACACCACTTGTTTAATTCGCCTGTTCTCGAGATAAGTGTCAATAAAGCAAAAGGATTTATTAAACACCAAAATTCGTGATTTCATTATGGTAAAATCGTAGGAGTTTTATGTTGTAGGCGGACTTCTGTACATCCCAGTGGTTTTTGTACCAATTAAAAAATTCATGGCTAGTTGAGGGATATTTGTTTAAAGGAGAAAGAGCAGGTCATCGCATATGCATTGATGTGAATATAAATTCGTCTACCAAATGTTTTTTGTTTATTTGCAGTCGTGTTTTGCCGACACTGCAAGATGAAACAAAAGTTTTTTCAACAACAACCGGGTCTACGAAACCGTCTTATGATAGCGATCACCATCGTTTGCAACACCATGACAGGTTGTTTAAGCCAAACTCGGAAGGTAAACTGTATATTGAAGAAGAAGAGGTCACATTTGACATTAAGACGAGCCACTCGGACAGTAGTATATACGGTGATTGTTTGCGTCTATAAAATCTTAGTACTTAGAGACGTTCGCTTATTCTGCAGTCGATGCTTATAAATTTCTCAATTTAGACTGTGCTCTGGAAGGTGGTTGCTGTTCTCATGTTGACGATTTGTCCTGTAGTGGATCACGATTGAAACAGTCGAAAAATAGTAGTAACTTACCTAATGTGGGAAGGTTAGTCTTACTATTTGTTCTGATCGTTTTTCACACAAAACATCTTCCGCCTAGTTTTTAGATGCTCTTAATATTGTTTGGTGTTTGGTTAATATTTGTTGTTTTTTCTTTATAATGCTGAGATATTTGCAAAACTCTGGACCGCAGGTGCTTGCGGTGGGGAACGAACGCGCTATTGTCCTTTCCGGGGAGTAACGAGTTCATCACCACACCATGCGGGTCCTTCGTTTCGCCTGTCTCTCAGTTTTTTCTTTGTAGTGTGCTATCTACTGGCCTGAGTGGTGGTTCTCTTATTGCCGAAATACTGCTACTCAATGCGCGCGTGCTTGGTTTAAGATCCGTGCATAACTCTCAGTATTGTCAAGCGTCATTGTGAGTTTATTTAACTCTCTACTGCTTTGTTAATAATAATTTCTTAATGAGTCGTATTTTCTTCGTGTGTTGTGACGGTTCGACATTGCTAATATTGCTCTATGAGGATGACAATTATGTTGTAGTGTGACATCATATGCCTTGTGCATCACATAGAAAAATACTTGATACTTGGTACTAGATTAGCCCGTCTTCACTAGTTGTGCGGACCGCAGCGTTCCCCTTTTTTTGGGGTGTTACTGGTTTAGCTATCGTGGTTCCGTGGAGTCCCGAGGTCAGCCTAGCTGAAGTCTGCCTGAGGTCGTTACCACCTCAGGCAGTCGGCGCTGTTGTGGACCAAAGGGAAATTCGTCACCATGCGATTAGTTTAATACCAATACGGTGGTGGATCCTGGTATTGGTTTACTCTTAGCTGGGCTTCCGGATGGAAACGCCGGACTCCTCAGCTTGGGAGACCCTGCTGGGGAGATGAATATCCATAGTGTACGTCACAGGCCGACACGGGAACACCTCCCAGTTACGATGAGGCGGTAAACCGTTGGGAGGATAGAAAAATAACAACATATTAAAAAGTATTTTATTTCGTTGGCAGACTATTTTGAGCTGAAATTTTACCGCTGGTGTTACATTTTGTTGCTGTTACTACCTTTTAGAGATCAGTATAAGGAGCTGAAGGTGATGAACAACTATTTTGGTATTGGGTTGGATGCCAAAATTGCCTTGGAGTTTCATAATAAACGTGAGGAGTCTGAAAAAGTAAGCCCTCTATTTAGAACAAAATTTCCTACGTTTGCTTACACATTTATTAGATTGCCATTAAAGAGCCGCAGTCGTTCTCGTCTCTTTATGTGGTATGGTATTCTCGGCGGAAAGGAACTCATGCAAAGAACTTATCGTAACCTTGATCAACGGATTCGACTAGAATGTGATGGCGTGCCCGTTGAACTCCCATCTCTTCAAGGTTTCTTTTCGACTTTCTTATAAATAGAGTTCGGGGTGCAGGTAGAGCAGTGGTAATGATGCCACCTTTTGACCATTCTTTTGGTCAACTTAGTCCTTCCACAATTCTTCTGTAGTTAAGAAATCGGTAACAGAATTGTTTGCGGTGGCTCACTCATTTCCATGCACAGAACAGGAGCTATATGTGGTAAATATTTGGGACGGCTATTTCAGAATTCCAGTTAGAGTGGATTCGACCAGTAAGTATTCAACGACATTCACGAAGAAGGAAAAATTTCTATATAGAATGCTTGATATCGGGTTATATAAGAAAATTAGAGTAAAATAACTGCATAAAATTTGTCACGTGCTGTTAAACATTTTGCTTATCCATCAACTTGCCAGCATTAATGAAATGAGGAATATAAGCCGTCTCAAGTACATCTCTGCTTTGCAAAAGTAAACGTAAAATAAAAGGAAAATAAGGGGATCATGTTGACCAAACTGTTGCCGTTAGAAAGTGACCACCTTTCCACCGTACTTTTCGCTCTATAATTCGAATTTTCTTTGTTTTTATTGTTAGTTTACTTGTTTTTCGTATCCTACATTCCCTTTTTCTTCTTTCTCCACATGCTCTTGGGGCGTACTTTGTACGTAGCGAAGAAAAAAGCATTCATCAATCGCTCACGCTTTGCTAACCTTTGACAAGGTGTCGTGAGATATGCGAAGTGCATTTCGGTTTTTTCTATTTTTTGTATCTTTCGATCCTACGATAACTTTCAACCGTCGTAGCGATTGGAAATTAAATAGGGGGATACTTCGGCTGACTGCTTTCACGAATAGTGCTGGTTCCTGAATATCTCGGCATGTCGCGGTAATTAACACATTGCATACGTACGACTTGTACTGTGTGCAATGAATTTAATGCGAAAATTATGGCGGTTTCAAATTTAAACCAAAATATCAGCTCTCAATGAACTTTGTTGATGAAAATAAAAGTCGTTGAAATCTGGAAACATTTCCCGACAGTACAAAAATTTTTTCTACTTCTTTCTCCTGATATCTCATGCCCACAAAATGCTTTTTTTCCATTGTTTTGCTTCAAAACTCCTTTTTCAAGCACAGAAAGGACTTAACAAGCTGGATTTTTTCCCGCGTAATCCCGCCGTTTTGCGCGATGTATCGTTGGCATTTGAGGTTGTATTTGGTTCAGAAATTTGAAAAGTCTGAACTCCGTTTCCAATTTGCTGAGTTTTTTTATTTCGAGCATACTTATAATTTAAATAATACTTCATAATTGATATGTGTGATGGTCTGGATGTAGTATCTTCAACAAATCTGTGAAGTTCTCATTTCTCCTAATACTAAAGTGCATGAAAAAATCGTTAGTTAGATTAGCTTCGGGTGCTATGTGTTAACCATTTCATTCTCTGTCGTCATCTAAGATGTAGCTTGTTCGGTTGGAGCTCCTATTATGTGTATGTATACACCTTGGGTGTTTGTCTCCATAATTGTTGTCTCTCTTGTTTTCATCACATTGTTTTATGAACCTGCTTGAAGATTTTTGCTTTTTGCAGAAAAGTGATCTCAGCAGCGTAATGTTACGTTAGATTGAAATACTATATGAGCAACGTCATAACACAAGTGATGGTTATTTACAATAAGTTGTAACTTTTACAACTACCATGGTGTTGAGATATTTGCAAAACTCCAGACCGCAGTTGTCTGCGGTGGGATCGAACACTCTATTACCCTTTCTGGGGACTAACGCGTTTATTACCATACCATGCAGGTCCTTTGTTTCTACTTTCTCTCGGCTAGTTTTTATTTCCTCCCAACAATTTACCACCTCATTGTGGCTGAGATGTGTTTTTGGGTGTCGGGTTGCAGTGTACATCGGAGCGATCCATCCCCCTGACAGGGTCTTCCAAGCTGAGAAGGAGTCCAGGATCCACCACCATCCTGGTATTAAAGTCGCATGGTGGCAAATCTCACTCTGATCGACAAGGACTGTTACTGCCTGCAGTGGTGAAGATCTGGGGGAGTCTTTGGCCAGGCTTACCTCGGGATTCCAGGGAACCACAATGGCTTAGCAAGCAAATCTCCAGAAAATGGAGATTACGCTGGGGCCCGCACAATCAGCGAGGGCTTGCCATTCAAGTATCAGGTAAGTTTTTATCTACCACTGCCATCAACAATCACTCACCAGTGAGATTAGTCCGGGTGGTAGTACTAGCCTCGTATTTTTTTTTAGTTTGAAAAGGCAACCTTTAAATTTTTTCATATCCTGCTTTTAGGCATCGTTATTTTGAATATCCCATCGTATTCGGGGGGCGCTAATTTTTGGGGAAGTACCAAAGACGAAGTTTTCGCTGTTCAAAGCTTTGATGATCGTCTTCTTGAGGTTTAGTTTATTTCTTCATTATTACTGTATATTCGCTGCACAATCACATTAATTCGGAGTGCTTTAGGTTGTAGCGCTTTTCGGCGTTATTCATGTGGCCACAAGTCGTGTTCCCAATGTCGTTCGCCTTCAGAATCACCGTATTGCTCAATGCCGTCACGTTCGTATAATCATTATGGGAAACGAATCGATTCCTGTGCAGGTAACTTGGTTAGCCCAGAACTTTCGTTTTAGTGTAAAAGTATTTGTGAAACAACCACATTGATGCTGACATATTTGCGAAACTGGGTGCCCAGGCGAGATTCGAACCCGCGATTACCCTTTCCAGGGCTCACGTATGACTCAGTGTACCACTAAGGTCGTTCAAGGGTTTCGAGGTTTGCAAACATTTTAGCATTATTGTGGTTGTATTTCACACAATTCCCTGCCGTGAATAAATAAAATGTCGTAATTAGAAGGTTAGTCTTTATTTATGACACAGTTATTCCATAGCATTTTGTTTAGGTTGATGGCGAACCATGGCTCCAGCCTCCTGGCATCATGCAGCTTGTGCATAAGAATCGCGCTCAGCTTCTTGTTAGGAACGCTGTAAGTAGAAATCGTCTCGATTGTCTAAGATGATACCATAAAAACAAGGTGCAGATCAGAGAGCCTGTTTGGTGTTCAAGGTTGCGATAAAGAACGAACACTAATGTGCAAGTCTATTCGCGCAACTCCTTTTATGGTTGCTAAATTGGGTTTAGCGATGGAAACTGAGTCACTTCCTTAAAGTTGTGCTAAATAGCTTTTTTGTTCAATTGTAATCTAATAATTGTAATAATCTCTCACCTGTATCACCTATAGTCCCGTTGATCGTCGAGTGACTCGATCGGGCGCCAGTAAATCTTCCATTTTTCCCTGTCGCGTGCAAGAGTAGCCCACTGGGTTCTACTTGCTCTAGGGACTCGAGCATCATATCCTTCTTCTAGGCTCTTCGTGAGGAACTCTGACCACCGGCTCGGTGGGCTTCCTACAGTTCGTTTGACATTCCGAGGAATTTAGTCAACGCTTCTTGTCCATCGGTTGTCATTCATACTCATTACGCGTCCAGCCCACCCTATCTTCGACTGTTTGGCGTACAGAATAGCATCTTTGATTTTTGATCGTTGACATAGGTCGGAGCCTCGGATCCCATCCCTCACTTGTGTGAAACGGGATATTCCTAGCATCGTCCTATCGACTGCACGTTCGATAACGCTGAGTGACCCTTCGTCCTGCTTACGCAGCGACCAAGTTTCTGACGCATAATTTTGGGCAGAAAGTACCATTGAGTCGAGAAGGTAGGCACGGAGTTGGGTGTTCTTTGTTCTCCTCATTATATCCTCGATGCTCTTGAAAGATTCCCAAGCCGCTCGTTTTCTTCTGCTCAGCTCTGGAGCTAGGTCGTTCATCATATTGATTTCCCGACTTAGATAGATATAACTGGAGCATTCGGAGATATTCGTTCCGTTGAGCGTGAATAGGTCATGCGAAACCAATCCGTTCTTCATGAACATCATTTTTGTGAGATTTAGTCGAAGACCAATCTTTCCACAGGCTTTATCAAAGTAGGCAAACATACGTTTCGCTTGGCTAATGTTTGGTGTTATAAGGACGATGTCATCAGCAAAGCGATGATGATGCAACAGCCGACTATCGATTTTCACCACCATATTATCCCATTCCAATGTTCGCACGACGTTCTGGAGGGTGGCATTGAATAATTTTGGCGAGATGGCATCGCTTTGCCTTAACCCTCTTTTGACGTCAATGTTAACATCGTTATAAAATGGTGATATCTTGGTTGTGAATTTTTTGTACAGCTCACAAACAATCTTTATGTACTGAGTAGGGACTCCTTGACTATCAAGGGCTTCCATGAGTGCTTCTATCTCAGTTGAGTCAAAGGCTTTATTTAAATCGATGAAAGTGAGACAGAGCGGTCTTCTGTACTCTCGCGATACTTCAATGAGCCTTGTTATCGTGTGGATGTAGTACATCGTACTAAACCCTTTTCGAAACTCTGCTTGCTCACATGGCTGTCCTTCGTCTAGTGTTCTGTCAATCCTGTTTAGGATGACTCGAGTGAAAAATTTGTAGACGACAGACAGTATGCAGATTGGACGATAGTTGCCGATATCGTGTACGTCACCCTTCTTGAACAATAACACGGTCTTACTAGTCTTCCACTGAGCACAGACTTTGCATTCAGACAG